TATTGGAAGCATAATGTGTTGTCTAATGGTAGACCCTGCTGCCATATGTGACCAAGGTCCCAGGTTACTGATTTGACTTTACACACAATTGCAGGGTCTCAATTGTCCACACATTGACAACACAACATACAGTACATGCCGTATATTGTTTCTCACTCTTGATCTTTTTTTCATTTTGTATTTTTATTATTATTATTATTATTATTATTATTATTATTATTATTATTATTATTTATTATTATTATTATTATTATTTTATTATTTTTTTTTTTTTATTTTTTATTATTATTATTATTATTATTATTATTATTATTATTATATTATTATTATTGTTATTATTATTATTATTATTATTATTGTTATTATTACATTTTCGCCCTGTTTGTCTGTCTGTCTGTCTGTCTGTCTGTCTGTCTGTCTGTCTGTCTGTCTGTCTGTCTGTGCATGTCTTTGCCCTAAGAGTTACGAGGCAGACTTCGGGTAATACCGTGATATTATGACCCGCCTTGCTCTCACTGACTTCAGAGTGAGTGTCTGTCTGTCTGTATCTGTCTGTGTCTGTCTGTATCTGTCTATGTCTGTCTGTCTGTATCTGTCTGTGTCTGTCTGTCTGGTTGTGAGGGAGACACCGGGTATTACTGTGAAGTTATGACCCTCTTGTTTAATTGTGTCTCGTGTGTGTGTGTGTGTGTGTGTGTGTGTGTGTGTGTGTGTGACTTCATCGCCCAGTCTATGATATTTCCCACCAGGCACCGACACACACACACAACACACACACACACACACACATAAAAATAGCCTCTTCATTTCTGTATGTTCTCTTGCTCTTAACTAGCCTGCCGTGCTATTAACCATCCTCCCACGTCACTAACTAGCCCAGCCTGCTATTACCCAGCCACAAACTAGCCTGGGTCATGCAAACCACAAGACGAAACACATACTTTATAATCAATAGCTCTGGGAGGGGGGAAGGAAAGATGGGTGGGGGAGGGAGGGAGGAGAGAGGGAATGGGAAGGAGAAAGGGGTGAGGGGGAAGAAAGGAAGGAGGGCGTGTGAAGAACAAGGAGAATTGAAGGAAGTGTGAAGTAAGGGGGTAAGGAGGAGGGAGGAGTAGAGAGAGAGGAGAGAGAGAGAGAGAGAGGATAAATGAGGGTTTGAGTCAATGAAGAGGTAGTGTAGAAGGTGGTAATAATAGGGAGAGGGAGGAAGAGAGGGGAGAAGGGGGAGGAGAGGGGAGGGAAGGGAGAGAAAGAGTCATTTTCATCCACCACTATACCTCTTGTCATTCTACCACACACTACCACTTCTACCACCACACCACACTACCACACCACCACACACCACACACCACACCACACCACACTACACCACCACCACACCACACTACCACCACCACACTACCACACCATACCACACTACTACCACCACCACACCACCACCACACTACCACCACACCACACCTACCACACCACACCACACCACACTCACCACACCACACACACACCACACACCACACCACACTCATACACTACACTACACACAAAACCACACCCACTACCACACCACACACACACACCACACTACACACCATACTACACAACCACACTACTACCACCACACTACCACACCATACCACACTACTACCACCACCACACTACTACCACTACCACACTACCACCACACCACACTACCACACCACACCACACCACACTACATCACCACTACACCACACCACATTGTTAAAACTGTATAGAATTTTTCGTGTCAGTAATAAGTAAGATAGAGGCAGGGCCGAGACAGCTGTTATTATCTGTAGGGAGATAACAATAATGTACAATAATATACAATAACTCCTTTCTTTCTTAAACAAAAACAAACAAACAAACAAATACACACCTTTACTTCCTCCATTATCACCCACTTTCTCACCTTCTTCATCTTTATCACGTTATCTTATCTTTCTCCTTCAGTTTATGTCAAATTTTGTTTCTAATATTTCTTGTTCTGCCTTAACTTGTACACCTTACCAGTGGTGTGGGTGTAGGGGTGGGTGGTGTGGGTGTAGGTGTGTGGGTAGGGGTGGGTGGTGTGGGTGTAGGTGGGTGGTGTGGGTGTAGGGTGGGTGGTGTGGGTGTAGGTGGTGGTGTGGATGGTTGTAGGTCAGTGTTGGTGAAGATGATGTGTCTGTCTGTCTGTCTGTCTGTCTGTCTGTCTGTGTTCGCCTGTCTGTGTCTGCCTGTCTGTCTGTCTGTCTGTGTGTGTCTGTCTCTGTCTGTGTCCGCCTGTCTGTGTCTGCCTGCCTGCCTGTCTGCCTGTCTGTGTGTGTGTCTGTCTGTATGTGTCTACCTGTCTGTGTGTGTCTGTCTGTCTGTGTGTGTGTGTCTGTCTGTATGTCTACCTGTCTGTGTGTCTGTCTGTGTGTGTCTGTCTGTCTGTGTGTCTGTCTGTGTGTGTCTGTCTACCTGTCTGTGTGTCTGTCTGTCAACGCCATATCTCCGC